AAGCTACGCTAACAGCTTAGCACTGTGTTAATTGATTCAGATGTTCAAAAGGATGTAAAGCGGTGGATGGAACATTACTATCTAATGGCCAAAAAGAAGAGATTTGACATGAGAAATCTGTGATCAGAGCTTCTGATTTTTTTCCCTTTACATTGTAGGAGCCACATGGGTCTGATAATTTGATCAGGGAACTATCACTAATAGAAGGGGTATTCAACACTTTTCCCAGTCTACATTCCCTCCCTTGAATATGCAACTAGATGTGCTGGGGGAAACAGTATGGGCACCATATAAGTATTTATATTTTACCCAGTGGGGTAGATCAGGTATACTGCACAGAGTTGATTTTTCACTCAAACTAGTAACCATGTGGTTACTTTGAAATAAAGGGGAAGGTTTTTGGTCCCAAAGAAGAAGTTTTTGATAATGGATCTCTTGCATCATGTCTGTACTGACACTGATTCGTTATTTGAAATGTCTTTTAAACATAGTCTTGTATCCAAAGAGCAATGGACATAAAGAAGTACACGGAACAGGTCTTTGCTGATTTCCTCTTCCCGCTGCAATTCCCTGTGACCATACCTACCCCAGCCTCTCCTGTAATGTGGGGCCCTAGGAATTACACAGGATGCAGTACAGGAAGGATGGTAGGAAGGGAGAAATCAGAATTTCTCACCCTGATGGAAGGATATCTATTGGCAGAGCAAAAAAAATTTTGGCATCAAAATCCACCAAAATGCTGCTCCTGGGGAACAGGAGATCCCTTGGAACAGCATTCTGGGGAGGGAGGCAAGAAATGCACGCTAAAACATGTGGGATCCAACCAATAGGCTTGCAAGAGCTTTACTGGCAACACAAATCCTGTGGGTTTTTTGGATACAAAAGATATAGCACTGTGCAGTTCCGTCTTAACATTCATCACTACATGAAAGTGCTTATGGTACTGCTGAAACAACTATCAATTATATCCTAAGCCAAGTCTGGGAAAACTGAAAGAATCCACGAAGTCACAGTCAAACAGACTCTGGGTGCCTTTATGTTTTTGAAGTAGAAAAAAGTCTGGGAAAGCAGCCAGTTCCCTTCCTGTTTCTCTGCTCAAATTTGCTGTTTTTCATTATTAAAAAAGTCAGGAGACTGTTCCATGTGTCCCTCATGTAGCATCATCTTCAGGTCTGCAGGGACTGCCCATTTGAAAATATTGCTCTCATCATAACAGGATGCTTAGCTTAGAATCTCCCAGTCCTCCATGGCAGCCATTATGTGACTGGTCCAGTCTTCCCCGGCACCATTCTATCCCAAAATTCTACAAGTCCCAACAGGTTTAACTGGTTAAAGAAATCAGAACTGAAAAGATCTCCAGTATAAATCTTTATAACAAGAAACATGATCTTCTCATTTTAGTTCATTAAATTTGAAATGTTACATTGATTCTCTCATCTATCACAGTGGCAGGCTGGCTTCAATATGAATTACTTGCAAATAGTCTGTCTTGCAGAAAATCACGTTTAGTGAAACCAGACACTCATGAAATATCACTGAAATCTACAAAAAACCAATTTCTTCTGTAAGGGTCAACCACTTGAGAACTATTTATAATTGAAAACGTCATTAAATGAGTTTCTTATACAATATACAATATTGGTAACAGAAATTATCACTCAGCAAAAAACCCAATTCCAGCTCCCCAGTTGTTCGCAAATATACCCCAGACAATAGCTACCAAATTTCTAGCAAATCCTGCACAGTCTTAGAACAAGTAATAAGTTCACTCTATTTGAATTTCCTCAGATTCCTCTTTTGAAATAAACCCTTGGTTCTGCAAAATTCCTCAGAGACATAAATGAATGCAGTTTCAATGAAACACTGGGTAATTTTAATCCCAAAGAAAGCCACCCCATCCCATATGCAATCCTTCACAGGATTAATCCGTAGCCTTTGGGGAGGACTGTTTCCCCAAGAATTCTAGCTGAAAGCATGGAACTACATGTTATAAGAAACCTGTGGCGCCCCTGAAAGACTCTGTGTCAAGTTTGCCCCATCTCTTCTGTAGCATTTTATAACCTAATAGACAATTGTGTCCCAATCTGTGGATAACTAAATCTGTGGACTGGGGCCATACTGATAGAAAACAAATAATTCTGCAAATTTGGGGGACCCCCCCCAAGACTTGGAGAAAAATCTGGAAGTAACACCCCCTCCCTTTGGGAGGTTTAAATCCTACTTGACCCAAAATGAACTTTGTCTGCACTTGTACTGAAGCTCCAAAGCTCCAGGTAGGGAGGAAGGCGGGAGAGCCGGTGGCCCTGTTGTCATTGAGGGAGGCAAGCTGCTGGGCAGGAAGGAGAGCCGGTGGCCCTGTTGTCATTGAGGGGGGAGCTGCTGGGTGGGCGGGTGGCCAGCCAGGAGAGCGCCACTGTTGCCATGCAATTGTAATAATGTCAGAGGATAGAGTATGTTGAACTGCACATTACAGTTCAGGTGGGCAGCTGTGTTGGTCTGAAGCAGCAGAACTAAGTTTGAATCCAGTGGCACCTTTTCCTTTACCTGTATCTGAAGAAGTGTGCCTGCACATGAAAGCTTATGTCTTGAGTAAAACTTTGTTGGTCTTAAAGGTGCCACTGGACTCAAACTTTGTTCTGCACATCACGGTGTGTGGGTACACAGTAGGGAAGAGAACCTGACATGGGACTGCTTTGTTTTACTGGAAGCCCCATTTTTCTCCTAATGCACAATTCCACCGTAATTGTCTTTGCCTTCGAAGGAGGAACACATAGCTACATTTCCAAATTAAACTGAGGACAGGTCTTTTACTTAGCTGTCCCAGGGTTCTGTAGATATGATGAGCATGATGTGATGACAAATACCATAAAGTATCGCTGCATGCTTGGAATGTTGCAGTGTGGAACAGTCTATTCTACATGACAAAAGGAAAGGTAATGTGTAGACCCTCTCCACAGTAAGTCTTGAGTGTCAGGAAATGCTTTTGGAGAAGGTAAGCTTCCTGCCTAGGTGGAGGAAGCAAGTGGATGTCAGTGTGAAAAAAAAGAAGCTGAAAGATAATAAGCAGAATCACTGCTATGAGTTGCTTAAAATACTGAGGGAGGGAAGGTTTGCAGAATTTCTCTCCTCAGGGATCTAATGTGGAGTAGCAGATCTGCTACCCCGGAGCATCACTATGGCTTCACCTGTGCTCTCTCTGTACATTTGTAAATAAAGCAAATGCTACAATGATACCATAATTTATTTTATTTATTTATTTAACTTGAGACTTGATATACCGCCCTAACCCCCCAGGGGGTCTCTCTGGTCGGTTCACATATTTTTGCGTTCTAAGAACTTGTACTCCTAACTTGGGCCACATCTAATGTTTGGGTAAGTGCTAGCCTGTGGAACTTCTTGCAACTTGGGAAAGTTCATCACATTTTTAGAAGGCCACATGGCATACTATTGTTATCGATATAAGGCAGTAGTAACGGGAAGCCATTAGGCACAAAAATCCTACATGTATATGAAATAAGTTTCATCATGCTTTATGAACAGTTGCCAGTCACTGCAAATGTGAAAAGCTATCCCCATTCACATTAAGGGAAGTTTACTAGCCTGTATAATTAATAAATGTTGCAAAATGAAATACTAGAAATTATACCTTAATCAACGTAGAGATTAATGGAAGAGATAATAATGTATGCAAAAACACCATGCTGTATATTGAATCCAACAAAGTTTCATTTCTAGCTAATAACAGACTATCATGGCTAAACTCTAGATTGCTACATATTTGACTTGACAGAAAACATTGGGTACGTTTCAAAACAATTACTATTTCAAAGTTGGTAATGTGAATGCACTTCAGTTGAATCAATTTCTGGGTACTAAAGAAAAAAAAATTGCTTTGTTTCCACTACAGATTTAAACAAGAGGGTTGCTACAATTTTAGTACTCTTTTCCATATACTGAATACACACAAGTTCTCATAGACAACAAGACATATCCCGTGAATGTCCATGCGGGAAGGTTTTCAAAGATACCTGTTGGGTTACCGGAACTTTATGTTAGTGGGAAGCCACTGGCCTATAGCCTTGTTAAATGGGCTCTGTAAACATCTCAGAGCTGCAGATCTGAGTAGCTCAGAAAACCCAGTGTAGAACGTTAGTCATGTTAACCTATATCAAAGCTACCACCTGAGAAAACATATGCATAAATTGTAAAAGCACATGTGTGGATTTGATTTTTCCATAGCACCTAGAAACAACAATTTCATAAGCATGTGTAACAACTCTGATGTTATTATATACACATTGGTAAAAATTGCTGCAACTGTTACATACTCCATACATGGGCTGTGAGGTGACGAGAGGCTTATTAAGAATTTTAAGGACAACGTAACAAGTAAAAGTGCATTTTTAAAAAGTGACTCCAATTTCTTTAATTAAAAACTCACACTTATGCAAGTCAAAGCAAGCCTATGTTGTAGCAGATGGAACCTTGTTGCCATGGTAGACCATATCAGTCAGTCTTATGTTTTGTTGCTTTATTTGTCTGCAAAGCGTTTCACAAACCTTATCTAATAAACTGATTAAAAGCAAGCTTTATTTAAAAAAGCACTCCTATCAACCATATAATGGGTTGGATCTAGACTAAATTTTCCCTACCCTGTTGCACCCCCCAATATCTTTCCTTGGGGTTCCTTATCCCCCTGGAGCAGCATTTCATGGAGACCAATAGGCTGGATTCGAAGGGGGAAGGCAGAAAAGTTCTATTCTTCTGATGGAAAATTTAGTCTAGATGCAATCCAGTTTTAACCCTTCACTCAAAATAATCTCTTCGTAACTATCCCTTTTCCATTTACAACAACCAATCTCTGAAAACAGAATCAAACACAAGGAATTTTTGTTTAAATCACCTAACACAATTAATGCATAAAACAATGATATAGTTTAATACCAGAACATACCTCATTATGCTGTTTATTGTGCTGAATATCAACAAATTTCTCTTACCGGTCTTTCGTGTTCAAGAATTGAAGACTTCCCTGGCTCATATTCAAAAATGCTCCTTGGTTCCGAACGGAATTTGCGGGTGTCCACTTTTCTATCAGGAGGGTCCCAGTCATTTCTGAAAAATTAAAAATTGATTTCTGAATGTCCTATCAAACTCCATGCATGAACTGTAGGAATATCAAACTTGCTTTCTCTATATTGCATTAACAAAATCAGGATAAAACTGTCGTATTTCATTAAAAGTACATCAGCTAGTGAGTTGGCTATGTTTGAACTTGATTCTCCAGTACAGATATATGGCAAATCATGTTTCATAATAGCACAGAATGATAACCATGTAGCATGTGAAAGTCAAAAGGAAAAACTCACTTTAGATTGTTAAATTATTTATGGGACAACATGTTCTTCATGTAAAACCATTTGCTGCAAGTAGAACACCACTTGCTCTAGGTTTTAACTTACATTCCATAAGCTGAAATAATAACCCTTCTAAAATTCTCTTTGTATTCTGTTTTAGTAACTAGTTGCTAACGTTTTTTTCCTGTCATTTCAGACAGACCTGTTTTAGTAACCAGTTGCAAGCGGAATTTATTTACCTGTTCATATAAACCCACTTGCGTCAGATTACCAAAGCGTGGTTGAGCTGCTTTTGAGGGAAACTGCTTTTTTCCATTTTCAACCCCTTCATTGTGCTTCTAAATCGTTGTGGTGTGCTGTTTAAAATGTCCATAGCACTTCCTACAATGCCACTTTCCCCCCACCCCTTTTCACAGCGCAATCTTCCTTGGACTTTTTTTTAATGTTCTAAAGTGAATGCGCTATAGTGTTAAACCACTATAGCACTGAAGTGCTATAGCACACCATTGAGATGCAACTGACTCCATGCATCTCAATGGTGCTGCTATAGCACTTCAGTTCTTTTTTTAAAAAAAAAAGTCAGAGGAAGATCGAGTGGCAAAAAAGGATGGCGGGGGGAAAGTGGCACTGTTTGAAATGACCACAGCGCTTCAGAAATGGGTCATTAACAGAAGGAAATTCACTATATGGAATTCCCGTCCCTGTATTGCTTTACTCAAAATTGGGCCAACAACAAATAATATCTGGATTAGAATGGTAATGTGGAAAGGGCCAATGGCCCTCTCAACAAGCTCTGAGTTCACTGCTTGTTAGGACCGCCAACTCTGGTTTGGGAAATTCCTGGAGATTTGGGGGCAGTGCCTGAGGAAGGCAGAGTTAGGGAATGGAGGGAGCTCAGCAACGATGTGATGCCATGGAGTCTGCCCTCTGACTTCAGGGGAACTGATCTCTGTCATCTGGAGATCAGCTGTGGTTCTAAGAGAACTCCAGGCCCCACCTAGAGACTGGCAACCCTACCATTTGTAGATTTAACAATGCACAAAAGGAACACGGGGCTTACTTCTCGGGTGCAGATCTCTGCCGTGGACGAATCGGTGGTACTGGAGGTGGTGGAGGTACAGGGGATGAGACCTTAAAGGCTTCAGTGCTGTTGTCAGAAGTACTTTTTGTCAGTGGTCTGTATGTCTGAGTCTTGGCAGCAGGATGTGCTTGACTGGAAAAGGATGGGCTGAAGTTACCTAAGGAAAGACAAAAAAACACAAGAGAAACCCAAGCATGACCATGGATTTCAGCTTATGCAATATAGGTTCTGCCCACACACACAGTCATTTAACAAAGGTGTGGTGTGAATGGTCCGTTGTCATTTTTATTAGACACATACACACACACATATTTCAATGGATACTTATGGACATATGGACTGGGCACAAGTATGGTATGGGATCCACTGTTAAACACCTAAACCTATTTTCTTGGAAGTATTTCCCATTGATTTCACTGGAACTTACTGACAACTCCATTGCTTTGATTTCAGAGCTCGTCTTGCATGTTTGTATACTGTGTACCCACTTCTGCCTTTTACAGAGCTGATAATTTGTTTGGTGATGGGACCGGTAGCTGCATTCAGGCCCTTCCCCTAACCTATACAGGTGATTATTTCAGAGGATGTGCAACCATCCATGGGGGGCGGTGTACCATGCACACATACCCTAGTGTTCAGTTTGTGCAGGAAGGGTTGTTTGTTTCTTGCAGCACTCTCCTCTGGACAGATCAGGAAGGGTGATCTGTGTGCAAAATCCTGTTCTCGTGCACAGGCCACCCTTGCTGGCTCAAGGTGAGTGTGCTTGGCACGGGCCTCCACAACTTCGTTTTTCTAATCAGCCCCCTCCCAGAGCTATAGATGCACTCTTGGTCAATTTCCAATTCTGTAGTACCTTCTCCCTCCCCAGGACCCCCAACTTACTTTAGGAATCCCCTAATTTTTTTAAAAGGATGAGAAAAGGAGTTGGCATCTGAAGAGAAACTTGCATACAAACTGAACTCAGCTCACTAGCCACATAGTGTGGCCTACTAAGGGTCTAACTATTTTGAAGTCTGAACCAAGCGGCATAATCAGGGGGGTATATCAAGCCTTTGTTCTGCCTCTGGTTCATTGCTGGTGAGCTGTGTTCAGCTAGGTAGGACACAAGTTACAGAGCTCTGATTCAGGACACACGTGTCCCTATGAAAATGGAAATGCCTTGAAGTATAGGTTCAAACATTACCATTTAGTGGTGTCCCCTCGGGTTCTCTTGAGTCTCATTACTGAAAACTGGAAAGGAAATGTGCTTACACATGGCCATGCCTTTGTTAATCTTGTTAATGGATGATGCATTTGTGGTTAGTAATATCATATTTATCAGCATTAGTGCTGGAAAATTCTCTTAACAAATCATGTTAGAAACGAAAATCAGGCCTATACAAAATGCAATTTGAAAACTTTAAAGCGAAGATACTTTTAAAATGAATTTTTATCTTAAGGCACGTTATATTTTATGCAGTTATACACTTGTATGCCAGGCTTTTTTGTATGTTGTCACTATCCTCTAGCTTGGTTTACATCTTTCCAATAAACCTCCTGGAACTATCTACTACTATATTATGCCAATTTCGGTTAAATTAAATTAAATTCAGTCAGTTACAAAGCAAAATCTTTACAGTTTTGATACACAAATATGCTACATTTTGGATGTGCATATCTCATTTTGAATTTGAGTTCTGCTTAATGGTAAAGGGCACGGTCCAGTGAAAATGAAATACAATTAGGATGCATTGGTTTCACTGTTAGCTCTCTCTCTCCCCCATTAAGTATATAGCTTTGCTTGTCTTATGTACACAACAGAATACTGTACCCAGCTGGTCCTGTTCCCTTGATCATCTCCACAACATACAGATTATAGTGTATTTAAATATGTTACAGATGGTGGTCTAACACTTTACTTTGGATCAAAAAAATTCTCTGTCCTCCTAAGCCAGAATCTGCTGCAAAACCAATCTAACGCAGTGAAGGAAATCCCAATGAAAATTCATTTCAAGGTCATTTCCGGAAAAGCTAACATCAATGGTTGAGTGAATAACAAAAATGAAAATCACATACTGAGATTCAACAAAATGACGACAAAACTGTTGTTGCACAAACACAATAAGAGACAGCCTATGGGGTTAGAGACCATTGTTACTTGCTGACACTAAGAAGCAAAGACTCATGTGAAGGGAAGGAATAACTCCTACCAGTATTATATGCATATGTAGTATTATACATGTCTGTGTCGTCATCTACAAAAAGAAATATAAATGTTATAGTAGTGCAATACCTGTCACTTTATCACAGCAAGGCAGCTTTGCATTTGCAAAAACAAAACAAAAAAATTAGCAAGCAGCCAACTCTCCCCCTTAGGTATACATTTTGGAGTCTGTCCAAATACCGTTGTCATGTTTTCCAGTCACCCGATTCTGGATGGCAACTTATATCCAATTTTCATTTTAGCCTTTGACATGCGGCCAATTCACACACACTCCCAGCAAGGTGCGAACCAGTTCCCTGCAGCTTTCCCCCCACACCACTCCAAGAATGCGTGTATAAAGACACCCAAATGGGCTAAAGACAGGATTCATCTCATGCAACATCAGCCTGCAAGTAAATGTGAATCAGTCCTGGGATACACGCAGAGAAGGAGCGGCATCAATGCTGTTGACAGTCAGCCAATGATAAGCATTTTTAAAGTACCTGAGAGAGATTTAAGTACTTGTTCCTTCCTCATTGAACTCAAAGGGATAAAAGAGCTTACATTTGGCTACACTGTGCTCTAAGCAATTAACTAGCTAATCCTGGCAGTACCAACAGCTCTAAAACTAATAGCTCCAACTGGCAGCTGTCTGCAGAGAATGTAGGTCTTTTAACAATTCTGCTATATGAGGTCCCAGAATTAAAATCAAACCTAGGGTCTCATAAAAGAAAATAATATATTCTATCATTGAATTATGACCTCCCCCCGCCCCCTTGGCTTAGTCTGTACCTGATAAAAGCTACCACTGATTTACCGTGATAAATATGAAACTGTCTTCATGATCTGGATTAAAAGAAAAAAAAATCCCTTCTTTCTAACATGGGCACTACTATATACATGTCAGTTTTACCATCTCTGCCCCTTCAGCCTAAGGCTGCACCTAGCATTCGCTCTGTTGTTTTACCAAACCCACACTAGAACAGAAAAGATGTGGCTCAAAACAACATTCAAATGCTGACTGCTGAGTCACCCCTGAACAGCCATAAAAGAGCCATAAATCTATGCAGACAGTACCATAAAACCAAGGGATCAAAGGAAGTGAAACCAGCATGCAGTGTGGAGGCTACAGTAAAATCAGACAATCAAAGCAAGTAAAAGGGGCATGCAATGTAGAGGGGAATTTCTGTTCCAGCGTGGGTTTGGTAAAACAGCAGAGCGAATGCTAGATGCCGAATGGATATAAGTTTCCCTTCACATACACTGATGGTTCCAAAGCAGTTGCTTTCACATGGTGCTATCCCATGCAGCTATGGGGCATGTGTGCGAATAAATAATGCACCTATGTGAACAGAGCCAATCATCCGAAGTGTCTTCCACATGGGGGCCGGATGTTGTGGTTTTTCCATTGCTAGTGTGACTGCATGCGGAGCAGCCATCGCCAGGAATGTAGCCATCATGGTAAAAGCTACAGCAGACACAGCATATCCACAGATACAGCTGCTACTTCTCACGTGGTGTCTTAAGATTTAAAAATATACTGTCATGTACAAACATGGAGCTGGTATAACATAATGGCTAGAGCGATGGACTGTGGCCCAGGAGACCCGGGTTCAAATCTCGATTTAAATACTTATTTGATGAACTGGGTAGCAGCATTAGGGAATAAAAACATGCCCCTGATTATTATGGTGGCAAATCTTTTTTTTTTCCCAATAAGTGTTTTTTATTTTGAACAATATATACAACAGTACATTCATAACATATATTGACGCTATGAAATAATCAACTTTCTCAACCCTTAAGAGCCCTTTTAAAAATATAACAGATCTTTGTAATAAGAGTTGTTTGGAATCACTTCTTTTTCTGGTTAGCAGCATTAGGGAATGAATCAAATTGCTCACCAAAAATGGTGGCAAATCTTTTAAAGAAGATTATTAAAATGCAAGAATAGCAGGCACCATCTTAGGAGAGGCATTTCCCCCTTCCTTTCTCACATGTGAAATGCCTATTTGATACTGGTGCCTGCTACAATACGAATGCAGTATGAATGCATCATTTAAAAACCAATGAAAATATGTCTTCTTCCTCGTAACTATTCACATTTAAATGTATGTAGACTTAACTGATGAATTCATCAACTGGTTACTTAAAACACATATAATTAACGGACTAACAGTGCAGTCATAAGCAGTTACACCCGTCTAAGTCCACTGATGTCAATATGCATAGAAGGATCGGGCTCTTTTTGTAGCAGGAACTCATTTGCATATTAGGCCACCCCCCTTAATGCAGCCAATCCTCCAAGAGCTTACAGAGCTCTTCTTACAGGAGCTACTGTAAGCTCTTGGAGGATTGGCTACATTAGGGGTGTGTCGCTTAATATGCAAATGAGTACCTGCTACAAAAAGAGCCCTGCGATGTATCTCTGCTTAGGATGGCACTGTTACAATACAGTCCCATGCAGTTACTACAGTCTAAACCCACTGAAATCAATAGGTTTAGACCAGATTAACTCTGCACAGGATTGCACTAAAATATTTCTTTAATCAGGTCCAAATCTCTGTGTTAGAACCATGAATTGCTCTGGGTCACCCTGGACCAGTCATTATCCCTCAGAAGTATTGACTCGTCTGTGATTACACTACTTCCTCTATACAGCAGTATCTGTTCAGGAGCTCTATATTACACAGAGTCCATTTCAAAAGAAACCATCACTGAGGGATTGCAGTTACACCGAAACCTCACACCTAAGCCAGGAACTTTTCATTCTTTCCATGGCTAACTTTGATGCACTTGCCAAAAAAGAGTTCTCATATAAATCTGTTGTCTTACCAAAAATTATAACAGACTTTTCCAGAGATTACAGTAAGACGCACTGGGAGCCCACCAACCACAAAGAACAGGAGTGCACACTATCCCACAATGCAACTTTTCCAGAGATTACAGTAAGGGAGCCCACCAACCACACAGAACAGGAGTGCACACTATCCCACAATGCTCCGTAGACATGTTATTGCTATGCTGTATGAACCTGAAAAATCTGCAGATTACCCCTGTTCATATAACACAGCAACCAAGTAGCAAGTAGCATCACAAGTAGCATGCATTCCCAATACACATGGCTGGTAGGCTCCCTGTATGCATACATGCATGCCCATTCTTGCAACATCTGAAAAAGCCTTGCCAATTCCTAAGAATGTACACAAAGTCTATGCTCCTTGGCTTTAGATGATGCATTCACTGCAATCCCCTCTATATTTTTCTGAAGGTGAAGAAAAATATTTATGTCCATTAGACATTTTCACCCCAGGGGAAACTTTATCCTGAGAAAAGGCCTGCTGGACATAGGTATGTGATTATCAAGGGATCACCTGAAATAATTTATTAGCTGACAGCAAGACACCAAGATGTATGAAAATGTAGCAAGGAAATTTCACATACCAGGCTTGTGAACCATGTGGATTTGCTTGAACATCGTCTTATACCAATCCTTCGGCCTGTCAACTGTCTATAAAAAATGAAGTTTTAAACAACAATTAGCAAGAAAATTTAAATAACCAATATACTGGACTTACATTAATGGATTAATTTGTAATGGATTAATTTGTAATGGAGGACATCTGGAACATTTTGAAATACTTTATTTGTTCATAGCATATTAGCACGAAAATATCTGAACAACTGCATCCACTTAAATCATGCCACTAGAATGCTTTTATAATATTGTAAAAATTTTCAAATATTTAAGGAAAAAAACTGACTGGAAATCACTCAACAGTGGTACTGGCACTTCTTGCACGATGCCGGAAGTTCAGAAGAGGCCAGCTCAGACCGTGTTCGGGAAAGAAAATCAACTTTCACTTCCAATAGTAGGATGCGTTTTTATTGCTAGAATGGCTTGCATCTTTGGAATAGGTTAGAATAGAAGAAGAAGAGATTGGATTTATACCCCGCCCTTCACTACCCAAAGGTGTCTCAGAGCGGCTTACAAACTCCTTTCCCTCCCCACAACAGACACCCTGTGAGGTAGGTGGGGCTGAGAGAACTCTTGACAGGAACTGCCCTTTTTCAAGAACAGCACTGACAGAACTATGGCTTCCCCAAGGTCATCCAGCCAGGTGCAAGTGGAGGAGTGAGGAATCAAACCCGGTTCTCCCAGATTAGAGTCCGCGCACTTAACCACTACACCAAACTGGCTTAATAGGTATTAAGGACAGGCTGGCATCAAGGTTTACACAGAAGCTTGTCTGGTCACTGTACATGGCTATTAGGTTATGTTTGGTGTGTTTATGGGAGGGGTCATAAAAAAGTAAAGGTCTGTCATGAGGGCCGTAGCTACGGTGGGGCATTTTGGGGCCCACACCCTCTCAGTCGTGAGCTCCACCTCATCTGTAGCCAGCAAGGAGAAGAAGGCTGCCATCCGCTCCTCCTTCACCAACCACCGCCCTCATGAGTGAGCTGGCTGTGCTAGCAGCTAGTGGCAAGCAGCTCCCCTGCCTGCAGCCAGTAGACAAGGAAGAGGACTTGGCTTCCCCTTTTAAACACCACTCAAGCCACAAGCCCACCCTCAGCCAGCAGAAGAGGAAGAGGTCTTGGTTTGACGGTGGTGGCATCACCATGCCTGCACCAGCCAAGCCAGCCCAGGTCACATGATGTCATTTCCTCTTCTTCTGGCTGTGGGCAGGCTCACTGCTGGAGCAGTGTTTAAAAGGGGGAGCCAAGTCCTCTTCCTCGTCTACTGACTGTGGGAAGGGGAACAGTTCAGTCAAGCAGGCAGCTTCTTACTTGCCGCTTGAGTGGAATTTAAATCGGGGGGGGTCTGCTGGCTGTGGGTGGGCTCGCTGCTTGAGTGGCATTTAAAAGGGGAAGCTGAGTCCTCTTCCTCGTCTACTGGCTGCAGGAAGGGGAGCAGTTCAGTCGGGCGGGCAGCTTCCAACTCACCGCTTGACTGGCATTTAAATGGGGGTGGGTATTCTGCTGGCTATTACTTTTATAATTTTTAATTTTTGTGACATCACACCCCCTTGGTGCCCCACCCACCATTTCCTGGCTACAGGCCAGTCTGTCATAGACAGTGTTTTCTACAGTGATGTTTGGGTATGCCAGATCCTCCATTGTTTTCTGGGTCCAGAGCAGACAAACATCACACCTCCTCCAGATACATTATTCTGTGAAAAATAATGAAATACATCTAGGAGAATTAACTACTTTCCTTGATCTCTGCAGGGACCAAATTTTGATGTGAATGATTTGGCACTATCTTTTGGCTAAATGAAGCAGGAAGGGTAAAATGCTTTTCATTTACAGTCATCAGCTGAAAGGGCCAGGAATTACATTATATGCTAATATTTTCTACTAGCACACTAAAGTATATTTCAACTGCTGGACATATATTCCTCTGTTTTTTTAAAAATGGAAGAGTATTGCTATATAATAGTACAGTAGCAATAAGACAAAAGGAAGATATGCAAAATGATCTGTGACAGAGTTATGATCTATAAGGAAACACACAGTTAATGGAAGTATTTATTATTCTCACAGGAGATTCTCCTCTTTGTCCTACATTTTTACTTATCCTTTGTAACAATCCATAATCACACAATGCTTTCTGAAAGGAGGGTCTAACTTTCACAGAGTAAAAATCCCATTTCAAAAGCAGAAGAGTGCTAGTTACAGTAGCCCACTACTTAGGACAAACAAATCCATGTGGACAGGATTTAGTTATTCACACATAAATGAAAGGCTTCTTTGTCATTTGCAATAATCAGAGGGTTGACCTTGAAACAATTAGATTGGCTTGTGCAGTTAAAAAGCACACACACACATACACACCCCAACAGCTACAAAGCAATTTTGTGATTCAATTATTTCCTTGATAAGATCCTTTCGTATTGATACTGCAAGCCAGTGAAAGCCAGCATCTTTTATTCAGTTCGAAGGCCAATACATAGCCAAATGCACCCACCATTTAGTACTGTTAAGAAAAATCAAACAGCATTTCTCAATCAGCATTGGATACAATGTAGGGGATGTTTTAAAATCCTATTGCCAAATGCTGGGAACCTTAGAGAATAGCAGTCAATCCACTAAACAGTACATGGATGTAAGCAGCTTTATGTTCCACTGAAAACAATGTAGAGGAAAATCAGTTTAACTTCAGTTTTTTTCAGCTTAACTGGCAGGGAAACCGGTAATGCTTAGAACTGTGAGTGGAATGAAATGTACTTCTGAGTCGAGAGTTACTACTGGAAAAAGAACAATGCTGCATTCAGTATCCTCTTTATCCATAATGTACGGTAAGGGGAACACATCACAATGTCATGCATTTCTGCACTCTTGTTCCATACTACTGGCTGCTGCATGGAAAGGGGAATGTACATTTTACATGCAAAGCTTCTTGGTATGAAGAAAGGGAAATAGGTGCAAAGTTGCTGTTCTAAGCAGAAACCTCATGATCTGCATCATCCAGTTAGTTATGCCCTAAAATTCAGAAATATTTCCATCCCTGCTTGAAGTACTGCTTGTCAATATTTTTACTGTCTCACTTTTGTTCACACATCAGTGATTTGGAACCTGAATGTGCGTTTCTTGCAAAGCATCAGAATCTCTTCACTGCTGGGTTACTCCAACCATTGCACACCTCATATATGGAAAATGCTTCCCTGTAAGAAAGTGATTCTCATACATATACAACAAAGTGACTGTTTGTGTGAGATTGTCGTATGTAATAATCTACTTGTTTTTTACATGGAACTGTCTTCTGTGCAGGAAACTGATAGCTGAAAACTGTTTTCAGCCCGAATACCAGATGGCAAAAAATTCGAGCTGTGATGAGAATATTTGCTTTTACAGAAATGTAGGTATTGGTTTTGCAGTCAATTTCAGAGATGTAGCCATTCCGGAAAATGGATAGGGTTGGATCCTAAAGTGCCCACACTTCTGCTTGTGCATAAAGGGATCTGTGATTCTTGCAGATTTTCCATCCATGCTCCCTTTGCCCCCTCCCAAACTTCAGCCCAAACAGTTCCCCAAGGGTCTCATGACCTTCAAGAGAAGTTTTAATGGTGGCACGGGAGGAGAAGCTGTATAAAGTGGGAGGAGGCCCACTATTTTGTGATCAGAAATCCATCCGAAGTACTTTGGATCCAACCCACCGATTTGGTACATAGTGGCCATGTAAAATTTTCCATATCACATAGGCAAAAGTAAAGGTTTCCCTTGCTCAAAAGCTAGTAGAATCTGACTCTAGGGGGCAGTGCTCATCTCCGTTTCCAAGTTAAAGAGCCAGCACTGTCCAAAGACTTCTCCATGGTCATGTGGCCGGCATGACTAAAAGCCGAGGCGCATGGAATGCTGTTACCTTCCCACTGAAGCGGTACCTAATTACTTGCAATTTCTTGCTTTCGAACTGCTAGGTTGGCAGGAGCTGGGGCCAGAGACAGGAGCTCACTCTGTCACGCGGCACTAGGATCTCGAACTGCTGAACTACTGACGTTCCGGTCTGCAGCTTCAGTGTCTTAACCTCTGAGCCATTGCGGGTTACATAGTAAGATGCATTTAGTACTGCTTTTAAGATTAAAGAAATCAGTTTCTGATCAGTGAATTATAGTTTCATTAATATTTCATTTTAAATAAACAAATATTTAACACACATTTCATTCATTATACCTAATTTTCTTGTGTACTAGTCAACATTATAAACTTTCAGAAAACTGAAGGAAATACTGCTGAATACTCCAAAATACTTTGAACTGGTGACTGAACTCACTCTGCGGAATGCCAGGAAAACACAGCTTATGCCCGTAGATGAATCACAGTACATACTATCTAGAGATCCAACAGGTAGAAAGTTGTGCTGCGCTGCAAAGAATGTTGGTAGGATATTATGTAATGCAAACTATGTTAACTTGGCCACCATATCAGATATTTTAAAAAACTGATGTGTTATCAGCAGACATTGATCTACAAAACTTTTACAAAATAACTGTGAATCCTTTGGAAAGCTTGCAATGATAAAGGTGAAGCAGGTAAATGTGGCATTTAACTTAATTAAAAGTACATAGGACCAGTCTAGTCATTCTCTTCTAAATTGCTTTCTTTCCTTTCTTTCTTTTTTTAGAGTGCTTATCATTTGATGTGGCACCTGGCAGGCACGGAAATGGAACCAGCTACCTTGTAATGAAACTAAAAACATATAAATGTGTATAAACTGCTGGTCTTTGTAAAGTAGAATTTTGGCTACACAGTTACTCTTAAAATAGAGGTTGCAATTTAAAAAGTCCACAGAGATTTTGAGATCTGCGGGAATGCATTGTCTTGAGAAATGTATTAAGGAAACTGTCTGCAGCTCTTTGGGTTGTATTATACTTTTTGCTTTAATATGCTTATAAAATAAAACTGTTGTCGTATGCAACAAGAGAGGGGCAATATGGTATTTGGGTTCTTGCTGACTACTCAGGTTTACCACAAGGTAATTGCAGAGATGTATCTATTGTTTTTGTTAGAACT